CCTGTGAAGCTATTACATAAAGGGGCAAATGAAGACTCTATCTGAGAACGTGGGGAAGCCCTTATGCAAGTAATAGAACTTGTATTTGTTGTTCATTGATTTGGAGAGAACTGGAAAAAAAAAAAAAGAACTACTTGCTTTCCTTGGGGTGGTGCTCGCATGAAGGACATCCAGCTGAGAAAGTGAAAACAGGATTCAGATGTTTTCTGGACTTCCTCCTGAACCTTCTAAAAGTAAATTAAGTCTGAAAAACATGCCCAGTTGACTGGTCCCAAATCACAGGCCATAGAGACACCAGTTTGCTCCTTAGGACTTATGAGCCTGCACTGAGCACAACCCTGAATAATTGTGCCAAACAGCAAAGGCTCTCATGATATTCAGAGCACATTTACTAAGAAAATATGTTTTCCCGGAAACCAATGGAGCAGCGCACCGCTGTAGCTATGGAGGGAAAAGGGGGACGCCGTCACTGTAGGAACGCAGCTGACGGCCTGCACAGTACTGTGAGTCAGCTCTGCCCTGAGCACTTTACCTTGTTACTTGATTAGCCATTGCCAAAATCCATGTTTATTTTGGTGAAAATGACTACTCACTTACAGTATCTAAATACTAAATAATTTTCTCAAATGTAGGCAATTTTAACAAGTATCTCTCAAAGTACACATGAAGTTCTGGAGCGCGTGGCTGAGAGAAGACACATGTGGCAACAGGTCTGGACACTGTTAAGCACTTTGTTTACCTAGAAACTCCATCTCTGAAATGGAGGCAGAGAAAATGGATTAGACGTGGTTTTTGGTGATGAACCAATATTTCGTAGGTAAACGATAAGGAACAACAGTGTATAAGTAAGCTTCATTTTGTGTGGTCAGAGGCAGAGTCTAACTTTGTGCCATTAACATATCATAACCATGGCCAGCAAGTAGCGTGGTGGTTAAGGGCACTGAACTCTCAGATGGCCGACCGTGGGTTGAGTTCCAAACCTGGTAGCTTGCTTTCTCACTCCCTCTCTCTCTCATTCTGTCCTTCTCTGTTCAAATTTAAATTAATTAATTAATTAATTTAAATAAAATTATTCTTAAAAAAAATAAACACCAAAATGAGACACGGTCATTAGAATTCAGAACCATGAAGACACAGAAAGGACAAGTTCTCTTTAAGCCATGTCCATGACATATTTTCAGAGAAAATACAAATTATCCTTTATAAATATGCACTCTTAGTTTGTATTATTAACATTTAAAACAAATATCAGCTTTGGTTTAATATAAACCCAAGAATGGAAGTCATAAAAAAAATGTAAATTCAGAAAGACTAATGTAAAGCTAATCTATAGAGAAATACCATCATTCATTTTCTCTTTTACTTTGCTATCATAAGAAATAAGATAGCTTGTTTTGAAGTAAGGGAATAAGTATGGGGATAAGTATGTCCCAAATATTATTTAGGGCACATCACTTTTTTTAAAAAATTACATTGCACATAGTCATATTTGAAAAATTATATGGGACATACTTACCTTAGAAAAGATTTAAGGCATATACTATCATTTTTGTTGCTCATTTTTCTAGGTGGGTGATAATTTTATTTAAGATGTACATTTATTCACATAAAACCTCCCACTAAAAAAGACATTTTTTCAAGGAACCATAAGCTAGTGTAGTTGCTAAACTAGAGTGAGCAGTGGTTTGAAGAAGAGAGTTAGTGTTGGCAAGAACAATGTAAGCGGGAATATGCTTGAAAAGCAAGTGGCTCTTGTCCAGGACTGTCAGACTGCCCAGCATCGAGGCCGTTCCTAGCCCCTGGGAAAAGGCATGGGACCTGTGTTGAGAGAGTATGGTGCCAGCCTCTCAGAGCAATGCTGGGTACGAACTTCTCTGGTGGCAACACAGAGATCTATTGCACCACCATGAATTCATCCCACCATCTATCTCGGTCTAACAGGGTGACACATCAGGTCTGTGGCATTTGTCAAGGCCAGCCAGTCTGGGTCTGAGACCCTTTTCTAGAAATGATAGCAATGGTACCAGTCTTTTCTATATCACGTTCATGTTGGGAAAATAAAATAGAATCACAAACACTGAGGTGCTAAGGAATGTTTAACAATGATGATCTAGTGCAAGCTAGAACTATCACTATTCTCATCAGCAGTGCTTGAGGACTCTCTGTCAGTATCCATTCCTGTTTAAAGACTGAGGAGATTGCATGCTCAACCCCGTCTTCTGCGGCTGAGACTTGCCCAAGGTAAAGTGACCTCACAGTCAGGGCTGGGCAGAGGGCAGGTCTGGCCTTCACCAGGGCTCCCTCTAGACTGTCATAAACATGATATTTGAGGGGTTTGCACAATTAGAAGGGGAAAAGCAATTTCAAAGATGATTTTAGTATTCTTATGTACTGCTTTTTAACAAAAGATTCTTCCACAGGTATAAACGAAGTAATGTACTTCCAACACCTTTGTCTAGTTTGAGGATAAAGGAAAAGCTTATTTTCAGCTTCTATTTTAATGCATTTCAGCTATATTAATAATTAAAGAAAATCTACAGTAAAGCATTGATATCTCTTCAGTATATTTTTTGATACTAAATAAATCTCACACAAACTATTCTAGATCTATCATAAATACAGTGTTACTTGGGGTCTTGAATTCCAGTTTAGTTTCAGAAAATCTATGGAAGAGCACTGATCATTCTTCAATATATTTTCTGATACTAGGTAAGTCACAAACTATTCCAGATCGATCACAAATAAAGTTTCATCTTGGGTGCTACATTCATAGGATCACCTCGATACCTAACTAAACTCTTCTAGTAAAGGTTTTTCCCTTCAACTTGCTATAAAATCAGTTCTACTCTACAGAGTTCATTGTTATAAAGAATGTTAAATTGTAGACAGTCAAAAAGACAAGTCGCCTCCATTCTTCTGCAGCCTTAGAGATAAGATCAAAAGCCTTTCCACAGAAATGGGTAAATCCCTATGGAGTCTCTACTCACCATCTGTGGAGCAGCCACTGGTCCCATCACTAGAACAGTACCGCATTTCAATTCTTTGTCTTCCCACTTCCAGCAAATTTGGATCAGGCAGGCGAGCTTTGCAAGTATATCGGAATCGCTGCTCATAGTGGCCACCATTGTCAGAGATGTTGACAGGCGTCCAGGGTGTCCAGGGTGTGGTCTTCTTCAGTTCAGGACATGCATTGGTGTTGCAAGGCTGGTACTCCTGAAAGATGAAATGCATAGGGTGTCTTACCAGGCAGCCTGCACTCACAAGGGGCAATCTCACAGGGGGCTTCTCTAGTTTAGGAAGAGAGAAGGTTCTCCAAAACTTCAGATCCTAAGACAACAGCTACTCATCAGAATTACAAACATGTTTGTGTTAAATCAGGCATTTAACAGAATGTTCAGCATTCAAGTCATTTCCAACAGGAATCCGCAGTTTCTACTGTGCCAACCGTAAGAATGTGATAAGCATGTGAAAAAATAATCCCATAAAAATCATCTTCCTTTCACTTACTACATAACCAAACATGCTGATTATTCTTTAAAAGGTTAAAATTAAAATTATGGAACCAGAATCTGTTTCTTTAGGCCACATACTATTTGAGATTAAAGAATAAGTTCTTGGGTTACATATTCAAGTGTTAGAATGGTAGAATAGCTATACATTACCCCAATACAGTGTATTTTTAGTCTGTAAGTTTTCCCAGTATTTCACTCTCAGATACCCTCCTTATAACCACAGGTGGGAGAGTCCTGGTCCTCTGTACACAGAATAAATGTGAAGATCTGGTGAGTGAGTCATGCTGTGTGTAGGGATGGCAGGTAGAATTCAGAACTAGGATGCTGAAACTCTGCCTTGAGCATTTGCTGATTTATCTGACAAGAATTCCAAATACTATGGTTCCAATAACAGAGTCGAATATAAAAGGTACAGGGTTGACCATGGCGGAAGTACTATGTCATGATCTCTTTATTTGACTGTAAAGGGGGCTGCACAGGGAAGCCCACAGCTGTAATTTATGTCCACATGCTTTGTAACAAAGGTAAACATTCATATAAAGTAAGTACAGGTTACTTTCCCCACTTTATTATTGCTCTATCTTTTTCCCATCTTTTTCAGTCTTCTATTTTGATATGTATAAAGATAATGACTTGCATTTTTGCATACCAGGCATCACCATTAACTGTGCACTATGATAAAGAGGATTTAGATCTTTAATCTTTTTAAAATTTTTTCCTTCATTATTATTATATTATTTATACATTCAATTGTTATACATCATTTACATTGTAAACAGACTTTACATAGTGTGATATACATCTCAGTCCAGTTGAGACTACTATATATACCCTCATCAACAGATAATAAAGCGTATCTGTGTCCCACAAATATCTTACATCTCCATTTCTACCCATATTATCTTTTCTGTGCTCTTCTCCTCCCACACTCTCCCTCCACTGTGTCTCTAGTGTCCATAACAATTTTTAATGCTTTTCTGTTCTCCAATCTTTCAGTCTCTACCATAGAGTCCAGTCAGTCAGTATATGTTAAGTGGAGGCATACAATGCCTTCATAGCCTGACTTGCTTCACTCAGCAACAAATCTTCCATATTCATCTACTTTCTATCAAAGTCCAGGGCCTTGTTTTTTTATAACTGAATAATATTCCATAGAGTATATGCGCTTTTTCAACCCATTCATCTGTTTGTGGACATTTGGGTTGGTTCCACGTCTTAGCAATCGTGAATAGTGCTTCAATAAATATAGTTGTGCAAGCGGTTTTCCAACTGAGTGCTCCCCTGTCCTTTGGGTAGATACCCAGGAGTAGAATTGCTGGATCACATGGTAGTTCTATTTGTAGATCTTTGAGGAACCTCCATATTTTTTCTCCACAGTGACTGGACCAATTTACATTCCCACCAACAACGTAGGAGTGTTCCCCTTTCACCACATCCCCGCCAGCCCTTACCATTTTTTTTTTTTTAATCTTCGCCATTCTGACTGTGGTTAGGTGGTATCTCATTGTAGTTTTGATCTGCATCTCCCTTATATGAGAGATGATGAACATTTTTTCATATGCTTTTTGGCTGTTCATATATCTTCCTTAGATAGATCTTTAATCTTTCCTCCCCTTCCTGGGTCTACTACATTATTGCAGTCTTCCCATCCCCCATCATCTTAATATAGTTACACTGCAATTTTCATTAGATCAAATCAAGTGTTTGCACTTATCATTATGTAAACACTGTCCATACCAGAGTGATGTGGCAAACTATAACTGACTTTCATTCCTGTCTAGTTCCAATTCAGTCTCAGTTAATGGTTCGCCTATTTGGATTAATTGTTTAGAAACTTGTGATTAGTTCACCGAGATCAGATATTCAGATATACCATGGGCTGTACCAATTGCATGTCCTTAAAGAAATCCCTCCAAGAGTTCCCTAACCTACTCCAACCTGGCTTGGCTGACACCACCCCACCCTCACCTTTGCTACATATAAAGAACACGCTTTATCGATCACTCTGCTCTGTTTGTCCATGCTAGGTTTTCCTTCCCTTCTCCCCTGTGTTCAATCTTTTGTGTCCTGTATTATAAGTCTCCACCTTTTTTGGCTGGCCTTACTTTTATTGGAGTATATTCTGGGGTTCCATTCTATATAAGAGTGCTTGCAAGGCAAATGTGTGATGCTTTGTTATCAAAAAACATCATCACACTACCCTCAAGCTTGAAGAACAATGGGGTGCAAGTTTTAGGTTGCAAATAATTTCCTTTCAAAATCGAATATAATGCTTCATATATTCTATTTCCTAGTGTTGATACTGAAAAACAGAGCTAGTCGGATTTCTTATCTTTTACATGTGACCTTTTAAAAGATCTCTCTGCAATGTGTAGTAGCTTCTCATTTTCTGAAGGTTCTGAAATGCCATAATTATGTACTTAAGTTTAGTCATTTCCACAAAACATTTTAACCTAGAAATGTATGTCTTTTCTTTAAAATTTTCTTGATAATATATTTTTTTTTATTATTTCTTCTCCATTATCACTCCCACTTCTTTCTTGTTTGGAATTGTTTTGGATAAAAGCTCCAATATCTATGTTTAAATTTCTTATCTTTTAACTCATATTTTCCATCTTTTTGCTGTTTTCTGGGAGATCTCTTTGACATTATCTTCCAAAATCATTATTGGGATTTTTATCTCTTTCACATTTTAAACTTCTAGAAGTCCTTTTATATCTTTTTTAAAAATTATTTTCTGTTATCGTATGCTATTCTTATTTTCCTGGTCATACTATCTTCTCTGATTTGACTAAAGTGAACTATTTTCCGGTTTTAGTTCCTCTTCATAGCTTCTGTATACTCCATGTTGCTTCATTTTAGATCATTTTCTTTTGATGTCTGGATACCCTTGGTTTTCTGTTCATATTTAAAGTGGATGAATAGAAAGTTTAATTGGAAGACCTGAGCACAGAGGAGCAGTTTGTCAACTGAAGTGGGACTTGGTTGGGTCATTTAGATAAAGAAAGCTGTCATAACTCTTTATCTTTCTTGCTGGGTTCTTAGGGATCCTTTGTTGGGCTAAGTATCCCTCTGGGAAATTGCTCCAGTGCCTTGTCCTGCCTGGATGGTAGACACTGAGCCCCTGGGTGTCAGGAAGACAAGTGGTGAAAGAGGGCCAGACTCTGGATATCCAGTAGACAGTCATTCTCTTACTCTGCCTTTTTCAAATCCACAGACACTATTAAACTGAACCTGGTGCCCAGAGGTCCACAGACTGTTTCCTGCCCCAGAGAATGAACTTCCAGGAATCTGCTAGATAGAGCAGGTCTAAGCCTCTCTGTGGAATAAGAAAGAGGTCTGCAAGTCTAACTTCTAAACAGCAATCACCCCAACTCTTCTATTTTTTTATTAACAAAAACGTGGGATAGCTGATTCCTGAGTTCTCTGAGGAATCTACAGTGAGTCAAAACAATCCTCATCCATATGTTAGGAATCTCCTAGATCCTCCCAGTTTCCATGATTAGAAAGCATGATTCACAGATGGCCCTGTATGGCACTCTCAGATTTATTACAGTGAACACCGACAGCAAAACCAGCAGAGGGAAAGGCACATGTGGAGAATCCGAGAGAAACTAGGAGCAGCCCAGAGTCCTCACCCAGGGAAGCCACACAGGATGTCCCTCACTCCCCTAGCAGAGATGACACATGTGACCCGTTGTCTGCCAAGGAGGCTCACTGAAGTGCCCAGAGTGTGCACTGGGGTTTGGTTATGTAGCCTCTGCCTCTAATGGGCCAAAAGTTCAGACTGCCCAGAGGAAGGCAGGAGTTCACACGCACCACAGTGTTGGCAACAACAGTGTAGTTGCAGCGGGCCCCTTCTTAGC